ATAAATAGCTTTCCAATTATCTCTGAAGTCTAAATTGGAGTGCAGAGGTGTCAAATAACTAAGTATAAATAATTAGTTACTTTACTAGAGTAGCTTTTTTCCACACTCTCTTCTTAAGTGTTTATTTTTTTTCAGTACTTTTTACTTTTACCGGCTGCTAGGCCTGTTGAAATAAACAATAAAACAATTAAAGCATTATAACATTATTTGCATTATCAATTTAAATGAGTTTAATTTCTGAATCTCTCTCCAGTGCAGGATTTAAACACTGGATTTAACTATTGCAGGTCAGTATGTTGCATTCGTAGTAAGGAAGCGCCAAGTAGCAATAGCAGCAGCAATACATAAACTTGCAGCTGGATCTAAAATCTACAATTACTAGCGGTGTGGAGACTAAAAATAAAAATTGATTGGTGATATATATCGTGATTTTCGGCTTCCCAATATAATATCAACCTTTCGGTTCCTAATATGAATTTTTCTTTTTTTAAAACAAAACATTTTAACCTAAAATGATGAGGGAAAGCGGGCTACCTCCTCACCGCCACTGTGGCAGAGAGCGCTGTGGAGTCCTTTCGCTGTACGGCGCAGCGCCATATCTGAAGCTAAGGCAGTCACAACGGAAAACTTGGACTGGTTGGAACCCCAAACAACATGGATACCAAAATAACCAAATGATCCATACGTTCTGATACACAGCATTTGCTTATTTATTTATACATGTAATTTTGATAGCTGGGAAAAACATCACAATGTATAGTGATATTGTAATATCGTGATAATATTGTATCTTGACAAGTATCGTATCACAACACCCATAGTCACCCCTGAAAATCACACAACCAGAAACTTCATCTGGAAGTGCGTCAGTGGCCGCCATGATAAGTGCTGTCTTAATAGTGCTGGCAGTAAGGAATGAGCAAGGAAGAGGAAACAGGATCCTTCCTTTAACTAGTTCATTTAGCATAGGGACCTCCTGACATTCCTATCCACTGCTAGGAGCTATTTGGTTTCCCACAATCCTTTGTGTGACAGGACCTATAGGGACAGCTCACCTACATGTACTCTTATATGACACGACTTCATATGTTTTGGGTTCTATAATGAAAAGCTTCAAATTTTAGCAACAGTTATGCAACTTTTTTGTGTTTTTTTTCAGGAAGGCAATTTGAGCAGCATCATCCATGTGCATGTCTGCTGCATAATGACGTTCATAAGGCTGAAAGCCATCTGGATAAAGCCCAGCGTACGGAGTTCTTTTCCTACCCTGGATGATGGTTTTACTGTCAACCCTACGGAAGGTGAACAGAAGGAGCTAGGGAGAGGATTAGAGACCACAATTTTGGTTATTCAGAAGGAGCCTCAGTTTTCCCAACAATCCAATCTAACTGGAATGTTCAATCTCAAAACCAAAGACAGAAATAGCAGCTGTAGGTTGCTTCATCTCCAAAGAAATACTCCTCTTTAATTTAGTTGAAAAGACAGCATTTTCAAAAATGTTGCAAACCTTTGGCAGCTAATATGAATTACCAGGGAAAAGATACCCTCACCTCACAAATCACAGCTTTACAAAAGATAAAACCCTTAAGGGGCTTTGACTGTCTAGGTTGTGTGTGGGTTTATTTCCTTTTATTTATTTTGGTTTTTGCACAAAGGCAATCTTTTTAAATGACTAATCTATGTTATCTATTATTTTTGGTTGTTTTTTTTGTTTTAAGTATGTCTAAAAAGTCTTCAAGTTGCGGTGTTCTTTAGACACTAGTCTTCTGATCTGTGAGCGGATGTACTTTCATGACTTCACTATACAAGGTCATAAATGGGCTAAAACATCAATATTATTTATTACAATAATTTGTGTTGCCATTTATTGTCCAGCAAAATTGGAAACAAATATCTGTGCCATCTACTTCTTACTTTCTCTAAATTTAACAACTGCAACAACAAAAAAAGAGCTTTCCTAAACATTTAGCTTTGACAATAAATGCAATAATTATTCATACTAAATTCTTCTCTTAGGCCTAAATCATCAGTAAAAAAAACACCTTTTCATATTATCATAAAGTTATTCAAACATTAAAACAGAAATTCTCCTGGAAATGGAGGACCGACAGAAATAGGAGACTCAGGACAAAGATTAGGTATCGTAACTAAAGTTATTTCACTTTTGAAAATGTGAAAACCTAAAACGACTGCCCGTTCATAGCAGTCGGTTGCCATCTTGCTACTTTTTTTTATTCTTTTGTCCTGTTTGGTCAAAATATCCAAATAAAACAGACCTCGTCTTCCCCTGTTAAGGTCTAAAAATCACCCACTGGCAATGCTGTAAGGGAGCAGTTCATTCAGAAGCTTTTATTGTTTTATTCTAAGATAAGATTAAAATATTGAAGGTGTGTTCTGATCTTAGAATGACTGACAGGGTCAGTTCTTAGAAAAGAAATTTAGAATAAAAAAAATAAATAACATCTAGTAAAGGAATGCCATTTAGAGTTGTTTAGGTTAGATTGGCGGGTTATAATGAATTGGATTTCACAGGAATCAACTGGCACAACTTCCAATTTCACTTGCGCCGCTTCTCCTGTTAATACGGTAAAGACCTCTGGATCGTCCGGGACCAGGCTGCACGATACAAATTAGCCAATGAGCTGCTGTCAGTCTGGGTTGCTGCTGCTGCTACTTTAAGACACAGCAGGCAAACCTGTGTCAAGCCGGGCGATGGGAAAGAAGGAGAAGATGATGAGAAAAAGAGAGCAGAGAAAGTGTGGACTGCTGAAAAAGTGAAATGGTGCTCAAAGATGACCCTGCACATTTTGAGAACGTTTGGCTCAACCTGCTGCTGTGAAGCAGGATTCTCCACCATGAACAGAATCAAAAATAAATCCAGGCTCAAAATGAGCTCCTTGTATTGTGCTTTAGAATGGCTTAGTCTCCATTCAAACCCAGGTTTAAAGCCTTGCAGGGCAGCATAAAGCCCACTGTTCTCATTAAGCCAGAAAAAAGAAAGAAAAAACAAAATAAACGGTCAGTTCAGGTGTTTTATAAAATATGTGAATCAGGAAATCGTCTATATACCAAACTGAACGATTATTGTTCTCTTACTTCAAAAAACACTGTATAACATGGGTGCATAAACACCTCATCTTATTTCAATGTTAAATTTTGTTTAAAGTAGCAGATTATAATTGTTTTTTTTTTTTTTCTTTATTCGGACCCCACTGATTTTTAATTGGTTACCCCTGCACTAGAGGAATGCCCCATCAGGGTAATAACTTAGTGAGATTTCAAGCAGAGGCCAATCTGACGCCTAAAATCTAAGTGAAAGGATAAAAAACAGGATTCACCCAAAGTTGATTCAAAGTTTATTTCACAAAACCTTGGACCATTAGCCCCGGTTCTGAGAAATTATTACGTTCTAGTTTTTCTTCTCATACTAGCATCTGCAATATTAAAAAAAACGCTTTGATTTGCCATATTGCCTGACTTTTAATGCAGAAGCCAAGTCGTTAAAGTGGAGGAGAAGTTCTGCCAACCAGCCGTGTGTTTCTCATTAGAGCAGCGACATCCTCATACCTGCTTCTGTCTGCTGCAGCGTAAATTATTCAGAGGAGAGGAGGGTCTAGTAAAACTTCTAGGTCACTATCATTACAGCAAAGAGGCGGGCGTGAAATAAGCAGAGGAGAAAAGTTTCCCTAAGAGTCATTTTAGGGAAAACTATCCAAACGATTGAGACTTTTCTGGCTGATACGGATTCCTGACGTATGGAGGTCAAACATTTTGGTTTTTCATTAATGTTTCCAAGCATTTTCACACCAACAATGAAAGTTAGCTCAGCACATTACTTGATAGGTAGCGCATTTGATTCACAATGGAAAAAAAATGTATACACATTTAAGCTTAAAGCTCTTTACATTTGTCTTGTTATAATATTCATATGATGATATTTTTGGCCAATTTAGGGTCTTAATTTTGATGCATTTATGGAAAAAAAAAGATTTTCTCACAAACTGAACCTATTGATCAGCAGATCTCAGGCTGTTTGAATAATAAATGTTGGAAAACCGTGTCTCCTGAAATCCAAAAAAGGGATTTATTTGACAACTGAGTGAAGTCATGAGAATCTTTCGAAGCAAAAGTCTCCATAAAGGCTGCATTAATCAAAGCCGTAAATTCTGACAGATATGACAGAAGCTTTTCCCACCCAGCCTTTCACTGTTGGCCTTGTGCTTCCCTCTCCTCCCTTATCTGATCCAGGTGGGAAAAAAATAAAAATCCCTGCAGGTTTTTGCACTAGGTTAGTTCAGAGGTTATCTGCAGCTGCCTCAAAAACCTCCCTACAGGTTTTCTTCCACTTCTCTGTGCAGGATTTATGCCTTAGGTCCATGCATGCACCAGGAGCTCCCATCAGCATCCTGCAGGGTCTGCAGGGAGCATGCAGCTGAGAGTGGGATGCATGTGGGAAAGTTTCACAACTTCATTTTAAATTTAAAAATGTCTTGTTGTGCACTTATTTTAAAGAACCTTTAATTAATTCAAATGCATTGTCTGATTTGCTTATTTTTACTGGGATATATGGAGATGAAGATGGTAAGATAATCCAGGGTTGGTCCCTAAACGCATCACAGAAGACCTTTTGTTAAAAACTTGCTACAAAGTTTAAAGACTTTTCCCCAACAAGACAGTAAAAAGTTGTTATGGAAACAACCGCTACATTCTTAGAAAACGTTTGCCAGCTCGCCGTGAGCCTCAGGCAGAATCTCTGAGGAAGTTTTCCTCTTAGTTTACAAACACAAGAACCACAAAGAAGATGCGCCTTTTCTTTGAAAGCAGCGCATCGGTTTCTACAGCAACTTGCAAGAAAAAGAGAAAAACTGAGGAAAACCGAGCGCCTTTTCCACTCCCCTCTCCTTTGCTTTGCGTCTGCGAAAAGTTTGCGCCATATTTGAGCGAGCCTGCGGCGCTTCCAGGAAAACAAGAGGAGGAAAAAGTAGCCTCGATCGGCTCACCTTAGCGATAGCCTTCTTGTAGCGCATGACAGCCTGCTGGATGAGCGCGTGGACCTTCAGGTTACCATCCCCGCACGGAACCACCACCCGGGTCTTGCCGAAGCACACGGTCACTTTCATGGCTCAGGATCCCAGGACTTCCCCAGGTTCGGAGCAAAGCCGAGACGAGGAGGACAAATGCGAATGGGAAGCAGGCAGGAGCATGGAGGGGCTTTTTGTTGTTGTTGTCCGAGGTTATCCCGGTTCCTCTCTGGGGGGAAATGGAGGACTAAACGTCGCTCTGCTTCTCCCTGCAGAACATTGTTTTCAAGATTTTTCAGACCACCTGTTTAGCTTGTATCTCTCTTTCCTTCCTTCCTTCCCTCCCTCTCTGGATCCCAATCCCTCTCTCTGTGCTGAGCTAATGCTTGCTGTTGCGTTCAAGGGCCGCCGGGAGTATCGGAATCAAGACAACCGAACTTCTATTTTTTTTTTTTTTTTTTTTTTTTGAACAAAAATTTGTTTTTGTTTTTTTTTACATTTTCGAGTAGGAATCACTATGAAAGAGGATTAGGGGCACTTTATTTTTTTTTTTATTTAACTGATTTTTAAATTTTATCTCAGTATGAGAAAAAAGTCAGACTTTAATCTCAGAATTTTGACTTTAATCTCAGAATTTTTACTTTAATCTAAGAATTCTGACTTTTTTCTCAGAATTCCGACTTTAATTTCAGAATTCTGACTTTAATCTCTGAATTCTGGCTGAATTCTGACAGCTAACAAACATGTTAGCATCAAGCCGTAGCCATGTCTGTTTTAAAGACTGAACTAGTTCTCTTGTTTTAATCACCTTTCGCTCCTCCATTAATGAAATAGTATCACCAGGGAACCTTCGGGCACGTAAAAGGTCACCTAATTCCGTTATTTTCCACCGCTGTGTTACTGTCTGTCTAAAACAACTCACATCTTTGTCAGTGAAGCCGAGTGCTCCAACATCTCTTCCTTCATAGTGCCCATATACATTAAGATCCAAAATTTTGAGATTAAAGTCAGAATTCTGACTTATTTTCTCAAAAAATACTGAGATAAAATTAAAAAATCAGTTAACTTTTTTTTATTTTTTTCAGTGGCCCTAATCTTCTTCCGTAAATCACCACATTTCTTTCTTACATAAAAAAGAAGACAACATATATTATAAACTTAAATATTGCAAGGCAACATAGATAAATGAATAAATAAACAGGCAGTATTATTATAGCCAAAGGAAACATACAAAACTTAAGAAAAAAGAATAATGTAAAAGAGACAGCCTCATTCTACTACAAGACAGTTCCTTACATCACGTTAACTTTAGCATTTTGCTGATCAAAAACCAGAAATGTTGACACGTCACTACATAGTTTTTGTATATGTCCATATTTGTCAGCTAACAGAGATAAAGTGGAGTAGAAGATTTTGAGTTTGTTTTTTAAACTTATTACTGAAGGCTTTTGATTTTTCCATTTACATACATGTATATGATATCTTCCCACACTTATAACAATATTGACCATATCAGATAAATCCTTCTGAATGTCATTCTTGTATGTTAATATTAGATTTTTCTCAAAAGGTGTTATATTATTTATTTTGTTACCTAACCAAATATGCAGGTTCTGCCAAACATAATTTTTTTAGAAAGTGAGCTTAAATGTTTAGTTTGTTTGTCCTGTTCAGTGGCGTAACTATTGGTAAGCAGCATGCAGTGGCTTAGGGGCCCCCGATCTCTTAGGGGCCCCGTCACTGACATCTTTGCAGATGTAATGGTGCGAAAAATTTGTCTTAGATCCACCTTATTTATACCCCAATACATGGCAGATTTTAACATGATGGTGAGCCGTTTAAAGACAACACCAATAACAAAGCAGACAGTGGTACTTTTAATTACTATGTTAATAATATGTATTGTTCATTACATGGTTGGTAAAAAAAAAAACGCACTCATAAAATATGTTTCAAACTGTAATAAAGATCTTAAAAGAACAATGTATTTGAGTGTTTTATTTTTTACAATAAGACTTGGAATTATGGGTAATCCATAGCGTAGATTAAAACCATAACCGTTATGTACAAAGTGTTGTTACCATTGGTCCAGTTCACTCATATGAACCTCTATTATACTTTTTTTCTCATCTCTGGTCTGTAGAATGTAGATGTATAAGAACTTTTACAGTTGCTTTTCGTATCTCTGCTTCTGTCTCCTTGAACCCCAGTCGGCTTCAGCAGATGGCCGCTCATACTGAGCCTGGTTCTGCTGGAGGTTTCGTTCTGTTAATAGGGAGTTTTTCCTCTCCACTGTCGCTACAAGCATGCTTAGTGTGAGGGATTGCCATGTGTTGTGAATTGGCACTATATGAATAAACTGAATTGAATTGATAATCAAACATCTTATGTGTGAATGTTGTTTTCTAGCTGGCTAACTAGCTACACTGCTGTAAGTGGAAAGACTCTCCCCCTTGTTTTGATGTATAAGTCCTTGCTTAGACTTTTTAAATCTGAATCTCTAGATTTCTCCACTGTGAGATCAATAAAGTCAATCAATCGATCAAAGAATAGTCACAAACATGTCTAAATATCTTTTATTTTAAATACTTTTTTTATGTTGTTGTTTTTTTTGTTTGTTTTTTTAACAGTGTCCTGTCTGGCAATGTGGCAATAAGAATAATAGTCTTGATGCCAAAGAGAGCCCAAGAGATTTTCCTTTTATAAGTGGAGCAGTACGGCTATCGCCATAGTGTTCCGCTTGATTTATGCATATGAATAACCTTATTATAATTCATACAGTGAACATTTTGGATTATATGGACACTGCAATGTAAGTAGAACAGGAAAGGAAAACAAGGAAAAGGAGAAATGTTGAAAGAAAGAGGAGATAAAAGGGAGATAATGATAAAACATCTTCAGTCTGCTTCATCACCTGCAAAGAGATGTAAAAAAAACAGCACAACCAATGGAAATAGTATAAGAGATACAATAAAGTGGCACCTTGATACTATTGCTGAAGTATAAGTAGTATTATTTAAACCGACATGAATACTATGGTAGCTGATGATAAGAATATGGGCTTTCTGTATGGAAAATCAGTTTTTATTGTGTTCTTTTTTCTTTCAGTTATTGCACACTATTTTTTTTTACCTCTGCAATAGTTTTTAATGTAGCCTAATGGTTGCTTAAACATATTTTAAAATATATGTATTCCATTGTGTCCTATTAAAAGCTTTTCGGATTTTAGAACATTATTTTCTGCTATTAACCATCTTCCAGTTCATTAGGCAGGAGCTCAGCAATTTATTTATCATTAATTAATAAAACACTGAGCTGCTTTTAACACAAACTTAAGGAAACATCACAGACCTTTAAATATAATTTCCTACCAACAAGGATACAACTTACCTTACCTTATATTTATAGCTACATATGTGGTCAGAAGTTACATTTATAAGAAAATGCAAAAATCAGTAATCTTACAAATTACAGAAATAAGGTTCTGATCAGAAAATGTATGCTTCAATGTAGCTTCAATTCATTTAGACAAATAGCTTGTAATCAACAGCATATTTGTTTGTTTGTTTAACTATTTTAACAGAAATATTTCTCAAAGCATTTGCTGGTAGTTGTAAATTACGGGGAGCCCCTGAACGTCTCAGATATCTGGCTCCGCTCTGTGGTCAGGGTGGGTAATGCTGAGCTGCCAGACCTGCTGGAGTGGGTAGAAACACTGCAGGTAAGAAGGTTGAATCAAAAGAAGACAAAAAAAATTATGGTCTGGAGCTTTTAATTTTGCCTTTAAAAACTAGCAAATAGATTTTCAAAAATTAGATTATTTAGAGATCAGGTTTGTTATTAAGAAATAAGTGAAGGCTAAATTTACAATTCTGGCACCTGTTGATAGCTCTTCCAAAGTTTTAAACTGCCACATATGTCTTTGCTTGTCAAATAAATAAATAAATTGTCTTGAATCTGATCATATCTGCATGTTTTGGGCGGTTGGTTGAATAAATGGTGGAGGACATCCTTTAGTGAATCTTCCCCTATATGCAAAGATTTAGTTTAATATCTGTATGAGGATCACCTCAATGTTTTCTAGTGTATTTTGCCAGCTGTTAATGGTGAGCTTTTGAGCAAATGGGAAATAGAGCGAGCCTTTATAGCTCTTCTCCTGTCATACTGACCAATAAGCACTGCACTGTTTACCCAACTCCATTCTTAAATATTAACACCAATACAAACATCAGCAGGCTTCTTAAACTGTGAAAACAACAACAGAAATATAAATCACCTAAAGAAGCAAAGGTAACAATTTACACTCAGTTTAGTTGAGTAAATGTACTAAAACTTTATTAGTGAATAGTATATCATTTCAATTGCCATGAAACACTCATGATCTTCATGATACAGAGGCAGCCTTGATACATATGCCACCATCCAGGTTACTTTCCTGGGTTGCTTTTCAGGACACTCATACTGTGCACCCAACAGGGCTAAACTGAATTATCTGATTCTGTGGAACAGAAAAATGAAAACAAAAAGATAATGGTTCATACACAGTTGGAACTCATTTTGAACATTGGTCCGTTTTCTTCTTGCAAGGTTCTCTTGTTCTGATTGGTGCATCGTTGCAGTTATTTCCTGATACATGCACACATTGTGATGGCCAAAATCTTTGATGAAATCTTGAAAGTATTTTTATGTTGCATTCACTGCCTTTAACAAAAATAGGCAGAATTTACCCATTATAATCTTGTTAGTTTGCTGTGTTTTTTTTACCACACAGAAAAACTTAACTAAGAGTGTATCATTGAGTAAATGAAACTGTTACATAAACATAACACTCTGTGGTCAGAAGACGTTGCTTAAAAAACAAAGAAAAAAAGAAAAGGCAGCATGTCTGTTTTGCTCTCAGGTGTTCATGTTATGTTTCACCACACATTTTAGTTTGTTCCTTCTGCTTTTAGGCCTACATCTTAACTGATTTTGTTGTCTTAACAAACAGAGTCTTTAAAATAACCACCAAAACCCTCAAGAACTATATTATATAAAGCCTGAATAAGCTGCATAAATTTATATGAAATTCAACTGAATGGACTGAATCACTTACCCCATCCAATCAGATACTCATCCATCCACGAAGTCCGATTAGCATTCAGAGCCTAGTTTAAAAAACATTTTAATTAACAGCTAAACCTGCTACCCAACCAAACGTGCGCTAAGTTGGCTAGCATTTCGAACTTCCACTCAGTGTCCTTGATTTAACCCTCCTCCACCCAATTCTCCATCTTTGTCTCAAGCTCCATCTTTCCCCTTCTTCGATCCATCAGATGATTCCTCTGGTTGTACCACATTCACAAGCCATTCCCAGCTGGTCCGGAAGAAGATCTGCATGTTGAGCATGGTTCTG